TACTAATTAAATAGTATAATTAATCCTTTAATATTACTTTAATTTGAAATTAATAATTCAAATTGATTGTTGAATCAAAATGAAGAAAGTCAAAATGTTGACTTCATTTAATGAAAAAATACATGTTCGTGGAATTTTGAGGTGTCAAAATTTGGTTTAACCAAACTTGCATATTCGTCAAATAAACCCCACAAATTTGAGTGGAATATTAAGTGTCAAAATTTGGTTAACTCAAGCATGCATGCTTGTCACAGAATCCCAAACATTTGAGTGGAATTTTGAGTGTCAAAATTTGGTGATCTCAGAATTTTGAGTGTCAAAATTTGGTGATCTCAAATTTGCATGAACATGCAAACATGACTCAATAAATAGAGTGATCATAATACATAAAAGGTCTTCTTGTTGGTGAAAAAACTTGAGAAAAACCTCTCACAAACACTCTCTTCATATATACAAAATCCCTCCAAAGTTTAGTCACTTACCAGATTCCACAATCCCGTTCTAAGGCCGGAGGATAGTGGAGAAGACACTAGTGGTGGTTCGAAACCGGTTCGTGAGGAAAAAGGAATTTGAACTACAAAAGGTTAGAATTCAAACTCATTTAGTTTTAATACTTATGAACATGCTAGTTATTTACTACAATTGATGTTCTAAAAGTGCCTAAGATCCAAATTGCTTCCGCATGTGTTATATTAACACCTTCAGTTGTGTGCTTTTGTTAATATCTCTTTCCTTAGCTCCTCCATTTTCGGGAATCTCGACTAGATGGTTTAGGACTTTTTGTAGGTTAGGATCCTCTCGTTGGGAGGTAATAATTATCTATCTAAGCATAGGTTGTACTGCGAGTCGAGCTAGCTGCTCCATGACTCCCTCGGTCACTACAGCTATGTTGACCCGCTCGTAATCTTTTTGTACCCTTACTTCCCTCGTAATGAAGGCCAACGAGGGGGTCGTCTTTCTACTTAGTGCATCTACGACCACATTTGCTTTTCCAGGGTGGTACTAGATATCTACATCATAGTCCTTCACTAATTCTAACCACCATCTCTGCCTAATATTTAACTCCTTCTGGTGAAGAAATATTTTAAAAGTTTCGTACTTTTTCTCTTGCATCACATTCCCAAGTTGTCCTAATCTCCTTAAAATCTTATATACTTACCTTTAATATCATAAATGAGTCTCATATAATTTTCTTTAGTATTTCTCTTCTAGGATCTTGAAAAACATCTTAGAATTTTCACAAGGGTGTTTGGTCATTTACCTCCCAAATCTTGGTTTAATTCTTCAATGTATTCCAATGGCTTTGTAACTTTGTGTAATACCTTAACAACATAGCATAAGTCTCCTCATCAAATTTCATGTACACACTAAGGTTGGAAAACTTTAAATACTAACTCAACCTTAATTTCAACTTTCTCACTTCAAAACTTGCTTTGTTTCACCAATTAGATCAATATTTAATCAATTTCTTCTTAGTATTTTGACGAAGGCAATCTCTTCGAAGGCTTTCAACTCGTGGATTAAGATTTTCCTAAGCTTCTCTTCGTGACTTAAGTCCTTGTTAATTTGACAGGGTTTATAGTCCATTTACGTGAATGAGGTTTGTCAGGTAGTACTAATCTATATGCCACCGGACGTTCCATTAATTCGTCTCCAAAATTTCATTTAAGCTAGGTTCTTATATTTTGTTTCCTATGATCGATATCTAGATGCATCGAGTAATCTTTCTACTTGACCATTAATGTTGGCACAACTCAAGGAGAGACTTTATGATGGATAAAGCTCTTACCCAATAAGCGTTGTAATTACATCATAAGTTCCTTTAATCCTATTGATGCCATGTTATAAGGGCTTTGAGGATAGGGTATTCTTAGTAGGTCTTCTTAAAATACGTTCAGGAACTCATTTACTATTGGTATGTTGTCTAAGGTCATTTCTTTTCTTCTTACATCTACGACACATGCTAATATAGTCCAAACGCCTTGTTGGACTAATCTCTTTGGTTTCATTATCGAGACTACCTTTCGGGGTAGTCCCGATACTTGTGCCTTTAAATTTAAAGTTAGGTCCAGCTAGTGATGAGAATACTACTTCCTTTTTGCGACAGTCTATACTAGCACGATTTTCAACTAGTCAATCCATGCCTAGTATTATGTCGAGTTTGGTTCCCTACGATTAATTGGCCATTCTTTACTCTATCATTAGCTACTACGTCTACCTTCACAGCGGTTCTTACCAACAATACGTGCAATAAGGGTTCTAATTCAAACCCTGTCTATGACCTCGAGGCGGTCTCTCTTCAGCCCACCTCGTCACCTTCCTCTAATAAGGGTCATCCCCTTCCTCGTCTTACTCTTTCGCACGGTCTGGGTGACATGGTTCTAGAAAGCAAGATAACATCTCTTTAAATCTAAGGTTCATTACTTATGAACATACGTTATACATCATGTATACTAAATTCACATCATATTGAAAACAAAATTATTCAACATGCCACAAACCACATCATACCTGAAATATCACAAGTTCAGTAATCATGACAGAAGAATGCATGCGAGTTCGAAAACGTTTCTCTTTTCTTATCTTATGCAAGGCGTACCTGACAGTGATAGGGCATCGACGTTGGGACCATGAACGTGTCAAGCCTACATCGTAGGCTAGTCTACATAATCTAAAACCTAGAGCTCTGGTACCAACTGTAACGACCGTAAATTTTCACATACTCAGAGTCGCTACTAACGTCTCATGCTTATCTCTAATGTGAAAATATAACTCTTAAACTTGCACAAGACCCAAGGCACAAACCAATCTCAGTCCAACCCACTTTGTAACCCGCACGAGACCCGCTAACAAAACCTAAACTGTGACCCGCACCTACTCTACAAACTCGAGAACCCAAGACCAAATGCACCTGTGGACCCAAGGCCCAAGTCTCCTTGCCCCAGCCGAAACGACCTAGTAGCCCACCAACTCGCCTGCGGCCCAGCCCGCGAACCAAATCCCAGTATGAGTCAGTTTGCAGATGCGACCCGAACCACAACCGAGAACCAAACCGGGCTATAGCCCGCGGCTCGACCCAACGAGGCTGCGCAACGTGGCTCGCCCTGCTGCTGCCATGTGGCACCTAGTGGCGCGAGCAACCCCTGGCTCGGCTCGCCTTGGTTGTGACTCCTACGGCTGGCGGTAGATTTCAACGGCTTCTCGATTTATTTGGCTCGGCTTCTACAATTTTGGCTCGGTTTCCACCGTTTCGACCCTCCCTGACCTTTTTTCTGCCCCGATTAAGGTAATTGAGGTCATTTTAGAGCTGTATTTCACATGGCTAGTTGGATTATTAAATTAAAATGTGAAATACTAACGAAAGGTGATGAACGGTGCGATAGAAAACAAACCTCGATGACCTTTGGAGCAGCTCTTAAGGAACGGGAGTTTATGTTTAACTAATTAGAGAGTACTTCGGCTAAGGCCAACCAAGTATATTGTATTAGTTATGATGAAGTTTGAGTTGTATCTTATGATACCATATACTAGTATATGATGATGTATGAGATGTATCGTATGATATCGTATACTAGCATATGTTGATGTATGAGTATATGATGATGTATGAGTTATGATTATTTATTAGTTATGATGCTTGATGATATGCGTAGTATATATATATTTCGATGAATGACGTACTTGATATGCTTGATGTACTTTATTGCAATATGATGAGTATGATGATTGCATGACGTTTACCTTAATATGATAATGTTTTCCACATTGAGCCTTATGGCAATATGATGATGAGTACCATATTGCATCATGTCGTTAGATTGACATAGACACAACCCTAAGAGCATGAAAATGATATTAATATATATATCCACGAGTATGTGTTACTTAATGTAACAAACAGATGAGACTAGAGGGTTGTGTTAGAAGAGATGATAAAACGGACGTTAGAGGGACCTCATGCATATTGTATGTTCATAAGCATAGAGATATTTTTCCTAAAGATGATGATTGCGGACGCGCACAATATGATGATGAGTGCGAACGGGCACAATATGATGATGAGTGCGAATGTGCACAATATGATGATGAGGGTGTTCATGAGGCGCATGACACCAAGGGTTCTGCTAACCTTCGGACATCGCTATAGATTAGCTTGACTAGAGGGTCCAGGGGTGTGCGAGCGCTCTGGGGATTCACACTCGCACGTATGGGTCGTGTGTAGGGAAGTACTACACATCCAATTTTTGAGACTGGAGGCCACCCCTAGACGAGCTAGAGATAGGTCTCTAAATTATGATTGCATGTGTTTGCATTTGCATGGCCTCCTATAGTGGGGCCACTTACTGAGTATTCTTCGAAATATTCAAGTTGTGTGCCACATCATTTTTCAGGTAAAGGCAAGGCGAGCAGAGACTCTGACATGTGTATAGGGTAGACTCATAATTAAATTCGTAGTCTTAGGTTAGAATATATTGTTTTGCATTTCATCAATTATTTGGGTTTTTTTTTAATTATTTTCTCTAAATTTCAGTATTTCATATCTAAACATGTAAGACCATGATTGTGTTTTGCGGAGAAAAGTTGTTTTAAGGGTTTTTGAAGTTTATGTTATAAATGATCGTTCATTTTAATTGTTATATTTTCGCATTAGAATGAGCATGAGACGTTAGTAGCGACTCTGAATATGTGGAAATTTAGGATCGTTATAGTTGGTATCAAAACCAGGTTTTAGATTCTCGAAGCGTGGTGTAGTAGTGGCTTTATAAGGGTGTCAAATACAAAATCAAAGTGGCGCAACGGAAGCGTAGTGGGCCCATAACCCACACATCCCAAGATTGAAACTTGGCTTTGATACTAACTATAACAGTCATGGTCATACGTATTGAATTACATACTTCTTCAATATGTTTGTACGGACCTATACACCATGATAGGATACATGATCCTTTCTTTATGTTGGTTTCTAGTGGAGTCAGCATACGCTAGCCTATATTCAGGCCTAGTAAAGATTTGAAATTGCAACGTACGTTAAAAGAGAAAATCATTGTCAAACATGGACCACACTGGCAACCGTAACCGTGGTCGTGAAACTTATTAACAACACAAGCAAACGTCATTTCCCCGCCAAAGATTTAAAAAAAAAAGAAAGAAAATATAATGAGGAGGGTTATTTAGGGTTAGGAACTTATTCTTTTCTTAATGAAGGATGTCAATGTTGTTGCTCAGCTCCTCAAGCTTCTTCATCCTCAATTTTTCGCTCTCATTCACCAACTGACAAAATCATTCCAATTTACCATCAAATAATTCATTTATATCATTTGTCTTTGTCTTCTAGATATTAAAAAAAATAAAAATAAAAATAAAAAGAAATATAAATGGAGAGAAAAGAAAAAAGATTGACCTCCATTAGTTTGGCTACCAATTGAGATTTCTCCTTGTTCTTCTCGTTCAATAGCTCTAGTACTTCCTTGTATTCTCTCTCCTGGTATCGTATGAACAAAACATTCTTTTTAAAGTGTGGAAATCTCTTTTGAGAGGAAGCTCGGACAATATTTGTTAGAAATGGACTTGAGCAGTTATAAATGGTATCTGAGTCAGACACTAGGTGGTGTAGCAATAAGGATGCTAGGCCTTGAAGGAGGGTGGATTGGGAGATCCACATCGATTGGATAAAGTGCTAGCGTAGATGCTGGGTCTGGAAGATGGTGGATTGTGAGATCCCACGTTGGTTGGAGAGGGGAATGAAGTGCTAGCGCATACGTTGAGTCCAGACGGGGTGGATTGTGAGATCTCACGTTATATAATGATGTGAAAACCTATCCAAACTGGAACAAACTTGATTCCACACTTGTTTCAAGTGGCTATTACACACTTGATGAAGTAATATGAACGAAGAAAGGGGGAAATGTTTTGAGAAATTTGATAAAAAAGAAAATGGATGAAGTTTGGAATTAGGACCTTCTTTTGGCAGGTGATTCCCAATGGCTTCAACTCTTTGTTCACCAAATCAATCTTCTTCCGGATCAACGAAACTTCCTTCCTCATCGGATCCGTCATTCCTTCCAGTTCCTATATTCATTTCATTCCAGTTTCTTCTCATCAATTTCAAATCCACAAACAAACCCTAACCCTAATCAATGGATTGATTGGAATTGGATACAATCCCACACACTTACTTCGCGGATCTCCGCCAATCGCTTCGTCGCTTCTTCTGCTCGTCCAAGCCGATTCTCCACCTTCTCCCTCATCTCCATCTTCTTCCTCTCGATCTCCTCTTCCTTTGCGCGGAACAGAGCCAACGCCGATCGCGAAAGCTCCTCCTCTTGATCCTCCCTCGCCGGACTCCCAATCGCTTTCTTCACTCTCTGCTGCATCTGCGATTGTTGCGCCTCCCAGCTCTGTTTCTGCGTCGTCATGCCTTCTCTCTCGCAAATGATGATGATGATGATGATTCTCTTTCTCTGTTAGGTGGCCATACGCAAAGCGGCGCAAGGCTTTTAAGGAAGGTATGTTACCCTTCCCTACCCTCTGCTTTACCTTATTACTTCTCAACAGACATCGCAATCGGTATGAATTTGACCTAATTCTGCACTCTGCTGTTTTTGTTGTCAAATTTGGAACCAAAATGCACTTATCTTTACTCAAACGCCTCGTTGATTAGTCCTGAATTCACAGATTGTTTTTGGAAATCTATAAATATACACTTTAGAAAACAGAGTTACCAAATTGTGATGGAGAGTTCAGTTTTGCTTTGGGTCAAAGAAGTGGAATGTGGTATTGGTTTTGTGGCAATGATTTTTGGGGGTTTCTTCCTAGGAATAGAATTGCAGGTGCTTGGGATTCAAGTTTTGTTGTATTGGAGTGGAGAGTAAGGTGTTGTTGTTACCTGCACTGAGTATGAAATGAATAATGGGGAAAAGCCTTAAGAACCAAGACTGAGTTGGAGAGATGGGTAACAGCAGAGCTGCAGAAAGGCTGCTTCTCTTTCTGCCCCCTTATTATTATTATCATTACTTTGCTTACTTGCAACAAAGATCTCTCACCTTTTCCTTTTCCTTTTCCCATTTTGAATTCATTCCTGTTCTTATCAACACCTTTCTTTAGCACCTTACAAGGAATCTGTCACCAAACCCTTCGATGTCTTGCTGCTGTTTTCTTAAGAGTTCTCTGTTTCTTTAAATTGTAATCCCAACAGATATAAATATTAATGTTATTTTAATCCCACGTCGGTCGGAAAGGGGACCGAAGCATTTCTTATAAAGGTGCGGAAACCTCTTCCTAGCTTAAAACTGTGAGGCGCTGACGGCGATACATAACGGGCGAAAGTAGACAATATTTGTTAGCAATGAGCTTGGGGGGTTATAAATGGTATCAGAGCCAGACACCAAGCAGTATGCTAGTGAGAATGCTAGCCCCAAGGAGGGGTGGATTGTGAGATCTCACGTCGGTTGGATTGGAGAGAGGAACGGAGCATCCCTTTTAAGAGTGTGGAAACCTCTTCCTAATAGACACATTTCAAAACTGTGAAACTGACGGCGATACGTAACAGACAAAGCGGACAATGTCTACTAGTAGTATGCTTGAGAAGTGAGCATTGCTCCGACAATTAGTTTAAGTGAGCTCAGTAGAAAATTCTCCCTCGATAAAAAGAGGACATAATCAATAAGATTCTAGTTAGGTAAGATTCAATTGTTCAACCATTTTTTTTAAACGAATGTGAGGTAAGAGATTGAGATTGGACCTTCGACTTGAGCGACATTTATTCAGCTATGTTTAGATTTAGCATTCAAATATTGGAACCTAGGTATATACGAAAATTCATGATACCTTAACCTTAAATGTTGTTGTTGAGTTGTTGGTAATAAAAGAGTTAAATACTGAAATATTATATGCTTGATCATGCGAAGTTAGAAACCAATACTTTGCCAACTTTATGCGTTGTTTAGTTGGTGAAATCTATTGGAGAAGTAAAGTTTCAACAGCTATTTGGATTTGCTGGGAACCTAACAGAATTTAAATCCAAAGTTTGGGGTGCTTCGTCTTTATCACTTAACAAAAATAATAACAACTAATCATAATCGTCTAAAATGGGTGAAAGAAGAAAATTGGAAGGAAAATGATGCATCTATGGCTCGTAAATGTTCCAAAAACTACGAGTCCAACTACCTAGGGCCAAGGAGCATCACATCTGCCTTGGACAAGAGACTAAAAGTATTGGAAACATTTGATTATCATCAATCAATACAGGTGAGCTTCCAATATGATATTAAATAAAGTCATGCTCGTGCAATGTGAAACAAACTCAATCCCCACTGGCACATCCCCTGCAACCACAATGCACACACTCCACGACTTTCTCTTCTCTCAAGTGTTTCGGGACTCGGCAGACACACGTCGTGCCGAAGTTATGGTCCCGAGGCTGTATGCAATGGAGGCAACAGAGACGCTCATATCCTGGCTGTATTTTCAACGGGAGTTTGTTTAGATACCAATCTGAACTATCATAAATATCAGATATCACTATATGCAACTTTCAAACACGGGTGAGACGAACGATCAGTTAATGAACGGCCATCAATTCAAATTCTGGATTTTCGAATTGAGAGATCAAGAATTCTCACTATTTCTTATATTCATGGACTCAATTCAATTCAGTGGGATCTTTCATTCACATTTTTTTCATCAACAACGTTTTATAAAACACTTAGACTTCCGAATTTAGAGTATCCTACTTTCACGCAATTCATAGGATTCAACAAGCAACCGATATTTCACGATCAAGAGTGTATTACTATTTGTAGTAGCAGTCCTTATATATCGTCTTAACAATCATAAGATAGTTGAAAGAAAAAATCTCTATTTGACTTGGTTTCTTCCTATACCTATAAATTTCATTGGACCTAGAAATGATGCGGAAGAATCTTTTGGCTCTTCCAACCACAGACACACACACACATTCAATTAAGGATAATCCTCATAGTTAAGCAGGGGATTGATAAAGAAAACTCAGGGAAATTGTCTTGTTTTAGTCTTGTTCACTTGGAATCCAGAAAGGGAAAATAAATTTGTTGGACTGAAACTTATGATGAAGTGGTTTGGGTATGAATGAATACCTTTTTCCATTTAGCAATGAGGTTGGCATCTGCATAGCCTTGTTCTAAGCAGAACTCAAAGAGCTCCCTGGATATTTCACTCCTTTTGTGGAAAAGGTCAAAAATGTATCGGCTCCTTTGATGTGAAATCTTGAAAATAGGCCACAATGCTTCACACTTCCGCTTCCCATCCTGCGGATCAATTTCAGCTGCAAAACAACACAAAAATAACCCTAAAAACATCACAAAAGAAAGAAAAGGATCTTGAGAATAAACAATATAATCAATCCACAGCTAAGCTTAGTCGTTTAAGGCACCAGCAATTGTAAAGCTATATTGACCAAACCTTCTCTCATTTTAGAATCGAGCTCTCGTAGGGTTGGCTCAATCAATTCCCATCCATTTGGGTATTTGATCTTGCTGGTCTTCACTTTAGGCATTTCTTCAACTCCTGCAGATTAAACGAAGACGAACAACGCGAAAACAGCAGCTTCAGAGTAGCAATATGCAGATTAAACGAAGATGAACAACGCGAAAACAGCGGCTTCAGAGTAGCAATGTGCAGATTAAACGAAGATCAACAACGCGAAAACAGCAGCTTCAGACTAGCAATTTCATCAAATATTAAACATACGCACAGAACCGTTCATTCGACAAGTTTTATGGCTACGCGAAATTCCACTAAGAATGAAGTGCAGAAAAATCTACCAATTATGACCAAGTAAAGTGGAAAAACATAAGAATGTTAATGCTTCAATCGAAACCAGATTTGTAGTACAAACCTAATAATACACTCTTTGTGAAATCGTAATGTGAAAAGATTTAGGGTTTTGTAGTTCAGAAAAGGCAGAGTATGAAGGAATTACCTCAAGTTGAGAGTCTGTAAGAAGTTCGTCCAAGATTTGAAGGTTGTATTTGCAAGTACAAAGGAAATGGGAGATCGATAGCAGACTTTCGAGTTGATCTTCAATAACACGATGAGGCTTAGCCAAAGTAAAGGAAGGAAACAACACGAAGAACTTGTTCAATTATTCAGTTTTAATTAAATTTAGTCCCCTTTTTATTATTATTATTATTATTATTATTTTAAATCTACCAATTTTAAAATTTTAAAATTTTAAAAGTTTTGAAATGAAATTATCTATATTTTTTTTTTTCATATTATTTACCAATATGTTTATAAGTTAAAAGCTTCATTTAAAATGACTATGATTACCTTTACGATAGTTCTGTCTCACCAGTGTTTGAATCTTGCCTTGAAACTTTGAACTGAATAAGCCAGATGGGTGTCTATTGAGAGTCGTTGTTTTGCTTGTCTCGACATTAGAGTCACAACCTACCATTTTCGTAGTATGGTTGTCGCATTCTCCCCAATTTAAATTGTTCATCGTCTTTGATGACTTTCTCCAGGAACAATCCTCATTGAATGGGATGATTTATTATTATTATTATTTCTGATAACATTTCTGGTTGAAATTTGGCTAATTCAATTCTTGATCAATTCATACGCCTCCAAAGTTGATACGATTACAAGTTTTGTAAAAAAAATCAACCTCAAAAGACCATCTCGGTGGATGGAGGATACAATTTTTAGATTGTTTAGACCAAGAAGATGATGACGTGGTTGGTTCAATAAAAGTAGTATGTCATGCTTCAATGGACTTAACCATAGTTTTTCTCAAATTTACCATGGCTAGCTTTGGTAACAATTTGAGGGAAATTGACCTTAGGAAAGACTTGATCGTGCCCTGAGCACATCCAAATAAGTAAATAGCTACATTGACATTTTCTCAAGATATATTTTGAATTGACCTAGAACACCAAGAACCAAACTTAAAAGACCTAAAATTGATGTTTTACTCGAGACCTACCTAATAAGCCTCATAACTTAATAATTTAAATAATTGACCCACTTAATGACATTCATTGTGCGACCTAATATCATGAAATAGTGATACATGCCTAATTTGAATGACATTAGAGCATGTTTAGAGCATAAACCAAGGTTAAGGTGAAAAATGAAGATAATGTTTTTAATGACATCTGATGAGAATGTGTAGTTCTAAGAACTCCAAATAGCTCAAACTTTGTATGACACCTATTTATAGCAAATCTATTTATAGTATTTTGAATGACCTATGCATGAATTTATGAGGGGTTGATATGATTATGATAAGTATGCTTGATTAGAGTTTAACCTTAGAACTAGAGCCAGATACTTATGAATCTATGATCCACCTTTAGGGTTAATAGTTAAGCGGAATAGGTTGGTTCCTAAATATGTACAACCCAAACCCATTATGACACTCAAACTACTGGACACTATTCTACTCAGACCTACTTTATGCCCTAACTTGCCCTAAATTTCCTAATATACGATACATCCTAATCATATGTTTTCCTCACTTCGGATGGGATGTCTTGCTCAGATTCTTTGCAGCATGTCCTAATTTACAAGATGTCAAAATATAGACTATATCGTGGGAGACGCATAGAAATGTCGAGGCAACTATGAACCAATTTTAGATTTCAGATCTTGAGTGGATCTCGAATGTGAGTATATACTCATGCATGTTGTTTATTAACCATATGACCTAATAGGTCTTTTAGATGAGTGTTCTAGGAGTAGGACTAGGGTTATGCATTGTGAATGGAGTGGATGTGGATGGAATTCCCTCCCCTTAAACTTGTCTAAAGGCGAGGATCACACAAGTGTATACATCAAGTCTAAGCACCAGACTGAGCAAGACATCCCATCTGCAACAGCCCGCATGAAAACACTAGCCCTTCCTGCCTTGACCAGGCAGCAACTTCAGCCAAAACAACCCGTCTCATGCCTCCGACCCAAAACCTATCGAGCTATGCTTGAACCGAACTTCTAACGCAACCCAAATGTCAACTTGTGCGCACTCCTCCGGTTGTAGCTCGCATATGGCTCGGCTTAGATGACTTATTAGGCTCGAATTGGAATTTTTTACCCTTACCAACCATTTTGAAGAATTTTTTGACGTATTTGGGAGCGCTTGAGGCAAGATGGTTACTATTTAGTCAATTTAAAATATTTAGAGCTGACTTTGGATCGAATACGAGAGTTAGATGATTTAATTCCTTAGAGATGTCCTAATTATGATGTCGGGGAATTCCATAGGTGAAGTTGGACTTCTACGAGCATAATCAAACTAATGTCGACTAATGATAATTAGTGACTTCAGGTTAGGCCAATGAAGTAAGTGATCTTACCATTGAAACGCTTTCAGACTAGGTTGGATGAATTGTTTGTTGCATGAATAACATGTACATTATAACTTATTTGTGTGTTATTACTTGTACGATATGGTGTTTATGAATTTCCTGTAATGTTCTTCTAGTATGTCAATCCATATATAGTATGATATCATGTTCATGTTATGCCCTATAAGACACTTGATGGACTATGTATGATAAGAATTAATGATTTGTCATGTACAAGTATGCATTTCTCAGAGGAAGGTTATGTCGAGAAAAATATGGAAGTATGATGTGCATTATACCTATATATCATGATTTGAAAATATGGGACCTCATACATATTGTATATCACGAGCACAAGAAACTTTTCCAGTATGTTTTGTAAAGACGCATACCCTTGATATGATCTGCACTCCTTTTTTTCCATTTGTTTCTGGTAGTGTGAATGTGCGCTAGCCCATAGTCATACCCAAGGGGTACGTATGAGAGTTTGCCTAATATGTTCATGTGCATGCATTAACCATGTGTAGAGAAGTACTACGCATTCAACCCTACTCATAAAAGAAAGTAGAGTCCAATGAATAGTCACGAAAAGTAAGTTCCATTAAGAACCATGATTGCATATGATTGCATTTTTCAATCCAAACAGTTGGGTCACTTACGGATATTTTTAAATAGTTTAACCACACTAGGTAAAGGCAAGAGAGGACTAGAGAAGACTATACCTAAGAAGAGCTTCGGGATCGAGATTGCCCCAAGAAGAGTATGTGAAAGTGAAAAGTCCCAATAACTCAAATATAGCTATGATGATCAAAGTGAGACCTGCAACGTTGTTGTGATCTTAAAAAGGGTCTAGGTCGATGCCTTAGATAGAATGCTTCAGACTATAGCCTTGAGAGAAACTAGGTTGATTGCGTCAAGACTTGTTGGGTTCTATAAGGACATACACCTTGAGCCTTGAGATATAGGGCGATGCAAGAAGTGAAGGAAAAACTCGACCGAAAGTCTTAAGGCAATAGATGTCACGAGGATAGTCGAATGGAACATAGCAGCTACGTGACAAGGGCTTTAGTGGCCTAAATCAGTGCCTATGTGGGACATGGCTTGAGAGGGGCTTTAACAAGTTGGATGCTCAGAAAAAAGAACTAGAAGCTTGATCGAGTGTCAGGAACCTTTGAGCGAGTGGAATGAAATGAGTCGACGTTTGCACTCCACCCTGTCCCTATTATGGAGATGGAGCTTACCCGCATGGAGTACCATGATAAAGGATTATACTTGAGGACATGCGTGACAATTGTAAGAGAAAACCATCAAGTAGTGTATCCAGCTCCCGAAATGTAACACCCCATACTTAGGATTTGGACAACAATTTAGAATTCGAATTCGACACCTTCTAATGCTCCAAAAATCCCTTCATCTCTTGTGGCAGAGTCATGTTACTTATTCCTCGCTTCTAAGAATGAAAACTATCCCCATAAACCAACATCAATCCTTTTAAATTGTTTCTAAGGGTAAAGTTTGTGCTCACATGATGTATTCATGTATACATACATCCATGTTTGGAGGTTGGAGTTCAAAACATTATTATCTAGATATGGTGTGGAATAAAAATTTATATTTAAAATTATGTGCACATCTTATGGTATTTCCAAAAGCTCTTTCGATAGGGTTGAGTGAAGATGAACGATTTTAGAGATGGAATCTTTTGGATGTTTTAATTGTTCATTATGAAACGATGATGTAAAGTTTATTTCATGATCTCTCTTACCATGGAATCTAAAAATGTACAGTAACATAATTGAAGTCGTTGAGCTTCTGAGGGTATCTTGACTCGATATTAAGGGTACAATCAATACATCTAATCTCAAATCAAGCATTTGGTGTGATGTTGGCCAAGAAGATGTCAAACTTATTGATGTTCAATTAAAAGAAGGTTATGCTGTGAACCTTTTCTCAAATAAGAAGATCGAGTGGAGACCAACATGTGGTACTTAGACAACGAAGCAAGCAACCAACAAGATTTGAGATCGAGCAAATTTCAAGGAGCATGATGAGAAGCTCATTGGAAATTTGAAGTTTGGCATCGAATCAATTGTACTAATCTAAGGCAAATGATCCATCTCGTTCCACAGCAAGAACGACGACCAATGTCTACTCACCAAAATATATTATATCCCAAATTTGAAGAGTAATATCATCAAGCTTGGTCAGATGACAGAAGAAGATAACAAAATGGAGTTTAGCGCATGTTTTTTTTTATGTTTTTCAAGAATATTTTAAAAATAAAATATAAAATAACATAAGGTATTTTTATTTTTTTTAAAAGTGTAAAGATATATATATATATTAAATTTAGGTGTATTATTGAATTTTTTTAAAATAAATTAAGAAAATGGTTATAGAAAAATATAATGAAATAACATTTATTTACAACATAATGTAAATATAATAATAACGGATTCTTTTGCTTCTCTTCCACTGTGTATTAACCCTGACTCCTCTATGTGCTTCATTGCGACTTTATAACGACTTCAACAATAATGTAACAGATTTAATTCTCTTTAATTTCCTCCTTTTTTATTTTTATTTCTTTTTCAAATTTAAAATCTATTTTCTAAACTTCAATTTTTTCACTATAAATAGAGGTTCCCCTCCCCCAAGTATCAGCATCACGGTCTTGCGATTTTGAGAGAGCGAAAACTCAAGAACAATCAGGAACTTCTCACAATGTCTGCATCGACTTCCTCATCCGCACCTGCACCCGCACCTGCCTCCGGTTCTTCAACCGCTTCGGATCATCCTCAGAGACATATGATCCGGAAGTTCATCCAGGCTTTGCGCGAACAAGTGAGATCTTCTTCAATGTTTCAATCTCTGTTCTGATTCGTGTTTCTTTGGCCGTTCTTGAGTTCAAGATTATGAGTTTCGGTGTTTCTTCTAGGGATTTCTTGACGATAACTTCAATAACCAGATGAATCTTCACGAGAATCGAAATTCCTTGGCTACATTCTGCGGTGACGCCGAACCTAAACTCGATAGAGTTGAAAAACTTCTGTAATTATTCGCCTCCTTAAACGCTTTGCATTTGATCGCTGCCTAATTCTGTTTTTCTCAAATCTTTTGAACTTTATATTTTCTAGTGCAAGAGAGACTGTGGAATTTGATACTGTGATGAACCTCATGGAATCGCTCAAGACCAATGCCGCTGGGTAACGCGCTCCACTCAATTTTACTTTTAGTGTTTATGAGAATCGAATCGCCAGTAACAATTGGAAGTTTCAAAGTCTCCTTTGCCCTAACGTAATTGTTTCTGCGGTAGAATCATGAATAAGAGTTTCTAGTGACTGTTTTCTTTCTCTTAAGGTCTTAATAATAATCATTGTTCTTTCTGTTACATTGAAAAGTGATTTTGGCGACACAATTTATTCGGAAGATTGTTATGAAAACAGCGCGTAACGAATGGACGGTGGTGTGTGTGTGTGTGTTGACAGGGTTGGTGGTAAGCGACTGTCAACTGCTTGTGCTGAGATGCAAGATTTGTGCACTGATAACAACGCTGAACCGTAATGACAAACAAGTGTTTCTTACCTTAATTTAGGCATTAATTCTTCGTATTTTGGATAATCGTCTAAAGAACATGAGGTTTTTGACTTGTTTGCAGTTTACAAGAAGCCTACAGGAAGGTCACCTGGGAATACTATGTTTTACGCGACTGCTTCCACCACATTCTGCAGGTACCACTTCACCCTTTCCTTTTCAAGGTTTAGTTACTTATTTCTTGAAAATTGGTCATGATTTTGGCGAAATTGTTGGAATTAGGCGGAGAGGGCAATCCAAATGAGCTCAGAAGAATGAAGAAACTAAGATTTGGAGTAGTAGGCTATAAATAAACGCATTTATGCGTTGGTATGGAAGGAAGGCTATTATTCCAGAAAGGCTTGCTTAGTTACTTTTTGTTTTGTATTGTAAACAAGCTTGTATGGACAAAACATATTATACTACAACAATTCTAGTCGAAAATTCTATTCCTCTCTTATGTTTCTCTTCTGATTATCCATTATTTCTTTTAGTTAGTTCTTAATCTTGCAACTAAAATTAAGGATTAATCTGCCTCATATCCTACTAATTTTAATCCCTTGGAACAATGTAAAAAAACCTAAAATAATTTATTTATTTATTAGGCATTTTTTAAAATTCACAAATATTTTAGACTTTTTAAAATTTTTCATAATTAAGATAAATTACAATGTGGAGGACTTACAATATTTTAAAATTGAATTACTAATGAAAGTATTCAAATCAAATAAACATGAAGACTTATTTGACTATATTACATAACAATGATATTAATAATTTTTATTTATTTTTAATTAACATTTTTTATTATACTGTAAAAGAATAAAAGAAATATAAAAAAAATAAAATACAAAAATATGTTTAATACTCCTAAAGTTTAGAAGTTCTATTGATAAACATTATAAATTAATAATTGTATTAATTTATTATTCATTAATTAATAATTGTATTAAAAATAAATTGAATTTTGTTAAATAAACTAAATGTTTTTAATATAATGTTTAAGTTTCCTTTGGTCAACAATTGGGGTGGTGGCGCAGTTGGCTAGCGCGTAGGTCTCATAGCTGAATTGAGTAATCCTGAGGTCGAGAGTTCGACCCTCTCTCACCCCAATGAAACACTTTTCTTTTTTAACTGAAATTTGAAAGAAATCCGGGCAGCGACTGACCGGGTCAACTTTACTTAAAAAGAGAAAAAAAAAAAAAAAAAAAAAAAAAAAAAAAAAAAAAAAAAAAAAAAAAAAAAAAAAAAAAAAAAA